GGATGAAGATGGATGGATGGATTTAAGTAAATGTTTGTATAAAATAAATGACTAATGTACAAACCACATATTATAACGAATGTTATTATTTATGAGTTATGACACTAAACATGGAACAGAGTGCTGGGAAAAAGAAATAGTACAAAACAAAGACCCATCTCAAAGTGACAAAAGATTCAGTCTCTGATTGTATCTTTAATATTTATACGCTTTTAACTATTTACAGTAAAACAGAATCACATTACAAAATATGCATTTAAATCTGTAAAACAAATAAAACAGCAGGTAACAGATTTAGCTGTTAGTGACGATTGGCATTAAGAAAAGCCGTGCGCCTCAGCTTTGAGGGGTTAATCGTGGTTCTTCTCTGTGTTAAAGGAGAAAAAACAGAGGGGACTGATACCACGCACAGTCTTCATGTCAGTGTAAGACGTGGACGGATTGTAGCCTTGGGCTCAGCGGGTCAGTGGAATAGAAGCTCCTCACGCGTTGCATCAGCTGAGGGATTCCTTCTCTTAGTGTCTCCAGTTGAACCTCCAAACATTAGAAGCTTGTGACTCCTCTTGCTCCTCTGTTGCCTCCTCTCCTCCTGGCAGTGGAGTTGGCTGGCTGTATTTTACTGTTGCTGCAGTTATTCTCAGAAAACTTTCATCAGCTGCTCTGTTTTCATTAAAGGTCACGTTTTTTCCCCTTTCTTGGGTCAAGCATGGTGGTTGTTGTTATATTCTCTTAAAACGTATTTCCACTCATGTCTGCTCTGCCTTTCATAGCAATGATGCAACAAAAACAAATAGAAGTTGTCTAATAATAACAATAATAAAACATTTGTACACCTGTCTGCACTGCTGTGTCCAAATGGCTCCAAACAGTGCATGGCTGCAGTGTCTCCCAAAGATCATCAGTGCATTCATAACAGCCAGCGCAGAGATGAGTGGATCCATGTTTGAGAATATGAAACGTTGAGTTCCTGCTTGTAATACGCTCCTGTTTGAGTGACTGAGGCATGCCCATGTGTCGTTCCCCTGTGACTGCTGTGCTCCCACAGTGGGCTTCATCACCGTCAGAACGTCTCTTACAAAAAGATGAAGGATGTACAAGTAACGCAGGAAGTTTGTTGCTTAAGGTATCGTGTTAGCTGCATTGTCAGTACCACTGCACTGTTTTCCTCAGCCCACTCTGCCATTTTGAGCAGCAGCTCTGCTAAGTTCCCAGAAATGTGTCTCTCACTGGACTCAAAACAGTCCACAGGACACGACACCAAGTGGGATGTAACTGACATGAGTGTTGGTTCAGGATGTCCAACACTCAGCTGCAGGGAAGCTGATGTGGCTTTTCTAACTCTGTCATGCAGTGAAGTATGTTCCCAGTTATACAGGCTCGGGATCATTTTACTGTTCCATCCTGTGAGGCTGTGGGAGTGTGTGGGTGCTGCTCTCTCTCAGTCTGCACCTGCTCAGCCCTCATATGTTATGTAGGTTAGGGGAGAACTGTGTGGTGTGGGTTGTCTGTCTCTTTGTCCTTGCACTGCTGTCCAGGGAGGGGAGGTCCTGTGGTGTGACGCTCCGTGCTGCAGTTTGGGGTTGTTGTTGCCTTAGTGTGGGCTTGTGGGCCTCATCAGCAGTGAGGGTGGCAGTAGTAGGCCGCAGGCCTGTATTTGTTCTTGTTGTTTGTTCTTTCTTCTGCCTCACTGCAAAAACTCAAAATCTTACCAAGTATATTTGTCTAATTTCTAGTCAAACATACCTCACCACACTTAAAATAAGACAGAGTCAGCTACATAGTAACGTTTCACTGACATATATGAGCTTGTTTTTAGACGGTGCATCTTGGATCTGGAGAATTTTCACTTGTTCCATTGGCAGATTTTTTCACTTAATACAAGATATTTTTGCTTGAAATGAGTAAAAAAAAATCTGCCATTACTTCT